GAGAAATTCTGGTGATTGACGTGGACAGACAGTCATTGGAGAAATGATGTTCCACAAACTACAGGTTAGTGTTTAGTAACTTGTCAGTATTTTCGAGCGAGGTTAGACGAGTGCAGTTTTTTGGGCTTGATCGTAACTATTATAGAAACAGGTCTATGTTGTGGGATCATGGCTAGCTTGGATTTAATATTTGAGAAAACAGGTGACTTTACGGCACACTTGGTTCCCAGTTGTATTTATTGGGATTTATATTTCAGCCAGTCTCCTTAATGGGTCCTTAATAGCCGCTATTAAGGTTGTCACCCAACACTTTTTCAGACACGGTCATGGGGGAAGGGGAGGGGTTGGGGGAAGTTACTTTGCATTTCTGTTCTGCCACTTCCTGGGAAGATTTTTGAAAACAGTTGCTGCCTTATCTAATCCGCGCTTTATCTTTCATACTAAATCAAACTGATCACTCGATGTCACACTGCTGTTGAAAGGTTGTTCGATTGGCCTGGACAGACAGACACACCATCAGATAATGGTGCCTTATGTCGTGTAGTTTTATGCCTTGCTTTCCTTGCTTGAAAAGTTTTTTTTCTATATCGACTGCCATTTTGTAACAGTGTCTTTTTTGAATATCCGTATTACGTATTGAGTAGACCCTGTTCCCGTTCCAGCTTTTGTTTTTTGGATGGAGAGTGGAGACTGTGCCTATCGGTTACCCTAAGTTTGATTAAAGGACATTATTATATAGAAACTGTTTGTTCTAACACTGCAAGTGACTCTTACAAGGGTACTGTCAATTTGCAACTGATGACAGAGATCAATTCGTAGCAAGTTTTGGGGAAAGCTGACTTTTTGAGGGCTCGTCCGTCATTAAAGGCGAGACATTCATTTTCTGTTTTGTTTAAACTTACCAGCAGGCTGTGAAAGGCTGTAGACGCGTACCTTACAAGCAATGGACAAGGACTCTTACACTGCTTTAAAGTATTGTAAAGAATGAAGGGTTCAGTACCTCTGATGAGGAAAGTCTACTTAGTTAACTCCTCTAGCTTTTACTATACGTTAGGCCAGTATCTATAATTTACGAATTATACTCCCTCTGTCTCGCCAGGGAAATAACAAGCATGAGCCAATGGGAAACTGAACACGTGTCTGGCGTAGAAGAGAAGGACAAGGCTTCCTGGATTCCATTTCGATGAGGTTAGTTTATATTATCAGCTTATTAAGCTGTAGATTTGACTGGTGTTGTTAGGAAACAAATTGACTAATCCATGATTACATGTAGACAAAAGTTTTTACTGATAATTTTTGATAAGTTAAATTTTGAGAAAATCAAAAGATTGTAATGAAATCCCACTATGAACGGGGGATTTCTGATGTTGAAAGTCTATTATGTAAAGCTCCCTTTACTTTTAGTGTACGTTATCTTGTTTGTGTAGTTTACACAGCATTTATCTCTCTCTCTCGCTAGGAGAATATCAAGCATGGAATGGGAGACTGGGAATCAAGAAACGCTTCTGGTATTGGGAGCAGGAGAATCTCTGAATAACATATTCAATAAGGTTAGTTTCTTATTTTGAACGTATTTAGCTGTAGATTTGTTTCAAGTTGTCGGGAAACAGATTTAGTAATCCAGAAATATAAGCGGACAAAACGATTCTCTAATAAGTTGGAATTTGATATTAACCAAAGTTAAAAAATAAGGCCAAACAAATTTACTCAGTTTTTAACGGGGGCGCTTAATGAACGGAGGATTCCAGAAATACATCAGTGACCTCTGATGTTTATAGTCTCTTTCGTAAACTACCATATCTTTTAGTTTA